ATCCCATACAACAATGATCAGAGCTCTTCGGAGGGAGCCTGTTTGTGCTAAAGTGAACAAAGGGATACCAAAAAAAAAAAAAAAAAAAAAAAAAAAAAAAAAAAAAAAAAAAAAAAAAAAAAAAAAAAAAAAAAGCCTTAGGAGCAATGAGGGAGTTACACACTCTGAAATATTTTTAGAACCATTCCTCAGTTCAAGTTCACTACCTTTGGAGGAGATTATGGATGTAAAACGCAAATAAACAAATAATAAAATTACAATCTTTCTCTTGTTCATCCTCACAGAAGGCCAAAGGGAGATAATCTTGAGGATCTAGCTCCACTCATTTATACAGAGGAATGTAAAATTAATAAAAAAGACAGCAGGCCAAAAATATAATCCCTCCAGATGTGCTTTTACTGGTATTTCTCTGTAGGAGAGAAAGGCCAGCAGATTAAATAGACTTTAATAATCAGGTATTAAAAGTGTCAAAAACAAAAACTTCCTTTTTGAAAGGATGCTTAGGCAGTCTCTACAAACTAACTCACAAACAACATAACCTTCTTTACACACACAATAATTATGCAACATGTACAGGTTTTTATTGCTCAAAAAGATAAAAAAGTGACAGGATAGTGTCTTCAGGGACTGTTGCATACAGTGTTGCGGAGGCTCCATTGTGACACATCTGTGGACCTCAGTTGAAGGTAAACAGAATTACATTAAATTGATTTTCTTGACTAATGAGGTCCACAAATCCAATCTGCTTTGTTGACAAATAGAGATGGGCACTGACATACAAGGAATTTGGAATGTTGTTCAAAGGTTGAATTTCCCATATGCTTCATTAGTAGATGTTGTTGCATTTTTCCCTCAAGCTACTTTCCATCATGTATAGTGTAGGAAAATGGGTAGAAATTTTTGTCTCTGGAAACCATGTTCCTCAGGAGTACCCCCAAATATTTCCTTCCTTCTGGCTCTTGTTTGATTCTGTGCTGATGCCTCCTAGAAAAACAGTTCTATAGGCCTTATTATTTCAAAGTAAAGGAAATTTCAGGCAAGCAAAGGTATTTTCTCCATTATCATGATTGACATTCCTTGTCATTTAGTAATGCAAAACTGTAGCTGGGAACATAAAACCCATAGAATGCAAATCCCCTCTAAATGATAAGGTTTATTGATTCAATATCTTTTCTTTATAGAGAGGTTTTTGTAATGAAAGCTATAGTCTGAGGCTTCAAAAAAGACACAAACTGTGTTTACAGTAAAGTTATATATATCAACTAGATGACTTAGAATAAATCTTTCTTTTCTGTGTTGTTCATACTTAAAAAATTACTTATATGACAGCTCTAAATTACAATGTAACAAAAAGAAATTTTATAAAATCTCCTGGAAAGTTGTGTACATTTTAGACAGACTTGATTAATTTAAAAAAAAAAAATTACTTAATTAAAAATTTCTGCTGAATTCCATATCTATAAAATGGCAACTAATTTCAAAATGGAAATCAGCAATAAAGCCAAAACAAATTCAAGACGTGACAAGCTTTTTCTTATTGTTGCCCATCTGCAATGCCCTAAGTGCTTGACAAACTAACACTACTTTGAAATTTAATAGATGTTTCTGATTGCCTTAGAAAAGTCCTTTGTGGTGACTTTTAAAATCAATTGTGCTGATTTTTCTCTGCTGCCTTTTAAATTTTCATTGCTTATTCACTTGATGTACATAAGGGGACTAAATTTGTCTATCATGGTGTTTCAGTGCTTGTTCCAACTATAATCCCTTTACATCTGTTACAGTGCCAATGCTTACAGATGATTTGTTTCCCACATAGATGGCTCTAATGCATTTATACATTTTACTAGAATTATGCATGCAAATTTATAATAGCATTGTTTGCTGGTATAATTTTCTCTTCAGACTTGTTTTTGCTGTTAGTAATAAGAAAACATGCCTTCATTCTAGCTTTATAATTATCATATCACGTGTTTCTTCTTCTTAGTTCCTAATAGGAATTCTTCCCAATCACATTATTGAAAGACTAGGAATAATTTGTTTGAGGCTGTAATATATCTTTGACTAGTCTGAAAAAAATATATATTACTACCTGTGACTGAACATAATGATGTTATGGGGTGTTTTTGAGGCTGCATCATTATATTAATTGTAAATTAGTTAAGGCATTTTGACTGTGAGTCCTTGTTTGATATTTTAAGCCTTTATTCTCCTTGAAACGTTGTAGGAGATTATTGTGAATTCTGTTTCTAATATAGAGCCTTTTAAATTGCATGTAAAGAAGGTAAAGTTGTTATAATGTCAGCTTTTCTCAGTAACTTAATTCATATCTGCTTTACAGTCTATTTGCTATTATTCCCAGTCACTGGAAATCAATACAGTATCTTGACCAGCTTATTCAAAGAAGCTAACCTCTTTATACTATCTTTAAATATATTTTTAGTATAATAATAGTAAATTTCCATAAATATGTATGGCACCAAAATGCTATTGACATTTCTGACACATAAAATGAATACTTGAGGTCACCGAAAGTTATAAAAGAGGTAAAATTATTATAAATAGTCTGAAGCTTATAAAAAAAAAAAAAATTCTAAGCATGATTTAGGTACATAAATGCCCACTGACTTTCACTAAGAACAAAGGTAATATTCCCAAAGGATTCACTATACAGGATAAAGAAGAGAAACCCATCCAAAAATAAAATCAGAAAAACATGTTTGGGGTTGCAACTATCAGATGAATTCTAGGAAAATGCACTGTGCTTATATGTGCTTATATGAGTTGGGAGGATATTTGGAATGTAAGCCATCTGGTTTATCCTTAGAAGACAACGACAAGAGAAAGGAAAAGTATAAAATGGAACACCTACACATTAAGATCTTAATGAAGAAGAGATAAAAGAGACAAAAAAGTCACAAAAGCAACCTCACAGCTCTATCCATGGAGAGACTCAGAGAAAGAAGGAGATCAGACATGGGCTATGGACTAACAAATCTGGGAAAATAGAGATGATAGGTAATAATGCCAGGAATAGTGACTTGTAAATGAAAGGAGAGCTGTGGATATATTTACTTTGACCTTTTACAGTCTCCCATAAAGTCCTTATAGAGAAGCTGATGATGTATGGGCTGAATGAGAAAACAGTGTAGATGACAAAAAACTGTCTGAACAGTTGGTCCCAGAAGGTACTGATCAGTGAGTGGCACAAGATTCAGCTGGAGGTCAGTAACTAGTAGTGTACCTTGGGAGTCAGTACTAGGTCCAGTCCTGTTTAACATTTTTATTATTGATGTGGGAGACTATACCCACTTAAGATTTGCCAGTGACACAAAACCAGATGGAGTGGCTGGTGTGACAGAGACTCATACTGCCAACCAAAGGGATCTCCACAGGGTAAGGTGACAGGAACCTCATCATGTTCAGTGAGGAGAAGTGCAAAGTCCTGAACCTGGGAAAGAACAACCCCACACACCAGGACATTCTGGGTAGCACTCAGCTGGAAATCAGCTCTGCAGAAAAGAACCTGTGGGTGCAGGTGGCCACCAAGCTGAACTACCAGCCAGATAGATAGGGACATCCTGGAGAGAATCCAAAAAAAGTCCACCACAATGATAAAGGGACAGACTATTTGCCTCAACTACCAGTTCAGTGTTCTCTTTTGAATTCTCTTATTATTATCCTTATTCCTAACAACTTTCCTGGGTGAGAGTGATCTGTATTCTGGGTATGTAAAACACTACTTAACTTCAAGCTAGTCTACCAGCAGTATGGGAACTGATTTCCACAAGACACAGATCTGGGAACTTGGTACTGAAGAGACCACAAGATTGTCAGTGGAAGAACAGCTAGAACTACTAGCTGGCTACTAGTGAGACTGTAGATCTGGACCGGCTACTGGAGAGACAGAGGTGTGGGTGTGAATGCCATATCAGATCTGCTAGAAAGATATGACTTTATTTGGCCAGGAAATCAGAATAAGGTCAGACTATTTGTATTATTTATGTTTGTGCAAGATCTGCTAGCGTTTCTGTAGTGCCTGTAAAGGTACTGTTTCAATCCACTGATGGTCAGTAGTGTCTGTGTAGTGTGTGTAGTGTGTATGAGTGCTGTCTGTCTATATGAAGAATAAATGCTTGGTCTTGCAAGTTGCTGGATCTAGAATTACAGGACCACAGCAGGCTGGCTCTAACAGTATGGGAGGAACAACTCTCCTGGGTCTCAAATCCATTTTTGGTATCACTTTAAGATGAGATTGTGTGAGAACTCAAAAAATTCTGTGTGCTTAAATCATTTTTTGAAAATTCTGGACATCTATATCCTTGGAAAATTTTATCAAATATTTTAAAGTATTATTTTGATTTATAGTCATTTTTCTGCTCTTTCTATCCTGCAGCTATTAATCAAACTTTCAAAGTTATCTCTCTGCATGCTAACAGAACCATGAATGTTGCTGCAATATTTCAACTTGTCATAACAAAAGTCCTTTTTTTTCCACCTTCTTATGGCCTCATTTTGCCAAAACCTTTTCAGGCTGTAGATTTTAGGTTTTGATGGGAGTGCCATTTATGGTCTGTTTGCGAAAGCTCTGAGTGAGATAAACTTTGATCATTTCATTTTTTTGCTCCAAATCCATAAAATCTATTCCTGTACTTAAAAACTAAAATCTTCAGATTTCTGAAGTTTACAGGACTACTAATTAGCTCCATAGTAAACTGCACCTTTGGCTTTGTCTCAGTAACAGAACAGTTGTATCAGTGAATTAACTCAGTGCTCCTAGTATAATTATCCTATTATTTCTAAATTATTTGTACTTTGATGGAGATCCACTGTACAAGCATGTCTTTTCCATTCTAAGTAATGGAACAATCTGTGTCCTTCATTCACACTGCAGACTGTCTCTATGGCTACATCCTTTTGATGACTTTCTTTTGAATTGCCAAATTTCATTGAGGTCGCCAAGCTCACCATCAGAACAGAGAATTAGAGTTGGAAATGCGGTCATGGTGGCACCAGATCCTGTGGGTAAAAACAAACACTGAGAACACAAAGGAGTAGAATTACAAAGCACCCAAATAAACTGGATTATTAAGGTTTTATTAAAACAAAATTATTTCAATAAAAAAAAAAAATAGTGTGCAGATGAGTTTGTATTAAGTGTTAACCAGATTACACCCCATGCGATACAAATCCCTGCACACTGAACCAAAATGCGATAAATTTAATTGCAAAGACTGGATGAATTTTGGACATTGTGAATGATTTTTCAATTCACCTACGTTAGTTCATCTCAGAGAAAGAAGGCAAGAAATAAACTTTGGCATGCATGTTTTCATGAAAATATTGTTGCCATGCAGGAAGAGGATGAAATAGCATACATAAAAACACTCAAATCCAAATAATTATAAGGGCATTTAAATACAAATATAGAATCATGGAATCATAGAATTCTTTGAGTTGGATGGGACATTTAAAGGCCATCTAGTCCAATACTTCTGCAGTAAAAAGGGACACTTATGGCCCCATCCAGACTGACCATGAGTTTCTCCAGCATCCACCACCTCTCTGGACGATCTGTTCCACTACCTCACCATCCTTATTGTAAAATAACTTCTTCCTTATATCCAATCTAAATATCTCCTCTTTGAGTTTGAAACCATTTCCCCTTATCCTTCCACAACAGACTTTGCTAGAAAGTCTGTTTGCTTCCTACTTATATCTCCCCTTTAGATACTGACATATGATACATATACTGCCATATATGTAATATATATATATATATGTATTTTATTTTTGCAAACATTTCAGAAACTGTGTGTAGACCTACTTGCTACTTCACTTACTCTAAAATGCTTAATAGGTGCTTTGTATACTTGCCCAGAGGATGAGAATAAATTTCACTGTGTGTAAGTTTTGTTTAATACCTCATGGCACTGACAATACATCCAGTGATCATAAGATTCCTATGAAAAGACCTTCTTACATGAGGGTCTCAAACATTCAAACCAACACCGAGAGTCCACAGTAAGCACTGTAAGCTGGACCCAAGGCTAGGGGAGAATACATTATACAATACTTAAAAAAAAAAAAAAAAAAAAAAAAAAAAAAAAAAAAAAAAAAAAAAGCTGCTTTCTACCAGGATATAGATATTTTAAAAAAGTTGAAAGACTATCTTCTTTCAATAAAATAACCACACATGTTAATTTGTTTACACAGTTATAAAAGAGAATAGAAATACTTATAGTATACTAGGCATCAATCAAAAACAAAACATTCACTGACAATTATCTAGAAGTTGAAGTACTATTTGAATTAAGCACGATTAGAATTTCTTGCTCTGGAACTCATTGCATAGGAAATTAATGTGATATATCTTTACCTATACAGCTTCCAAAATGTGGATATTCCTTCATAATGAAATTATATTTTGGAAAATAAATAAATAAATAAATAAATCATATGCCTAATTGTTGTTAGTTCTCCAAACAAACTAAATATGTAGATTACATAAACCTGTTTAAATCTAGCTTTTCTATGTTATTAAGATATTATTTTTATTACAAACTGTTGTTGTCTATATTTATTTCAAAAAACCCTTATGATTTTATTGTTCTGTACATTACTTATGTACTTTAATGAGAAATGTCACATATTCTTTCATTCAAAGATGAAAAGATAACTATATCCATTACAGTGTAAATTAAGTAATAATACCTTCTTAAAATGATTCCAGAACTTCCTCTTAAAGAATTTGCTAAGTTCAGGATGTGTCTTTCAAATTCTTTTTGAGAACTGAGCAACATTCTAGATTGTATTTTTCTGGCTAAGTATCAGTTTGATATCTTAAAAGATTATAACAAATACTTGTAAATGTAAATTCATTTCAATTGTCAAGAAAATCTGCAGGTATTTTCCTTTATATGTTGATTATTAAAGATTTGGAGGGCTTCAGTTTTCATGGTTCTATAAATAATTTAATTAAGCATTTGACATAAAAAATGGAAATTTCAGATTTCTCCTTTGCTGTGGATTGACAGATTATTGTCCATTTAACATTGGTAAGCAGATGGATGTAGGAAGGAAGAGTACAAATAAGGATTTTTATCCATCTAATTACTTTAATTGATTTGTGATGAAATATTTGACCATTTGTATTTAGTTTTGCCTTCATTCAAAATTGACAGCTCATTGTGTTGTTCATTAGACACGGGGATAATAAGTTAGGATTTCAATTATAAGCATGCAGTGTTGGCTAATCTATGAATTTTACATTAGTAAAACTGCATAATGAATACACCTTTGAACTGAAAAATATTGTATGGCAATTACCTGAAGAAATAAGAGAAGGAAATACATCTAAAAATTGACAAAAAAATAAATATCAGTTAGGAGCATTGGAGCACTTTTTAGGTATATGTTCACATTACACCTGAAGTACAACTACTTATTGAGGTCAAAGATCACAAGATCATTACGATAACCTAATTTGTACATTATTTCATTTGGGGTGCATGAGTATAGTGATACCTTCATCGGTCCATGCTGTTCTCTGTAAATGTTATTCTTCAGATGATACTGTCCTAAAAATCCCTTTTATTCAACAAAGTTGCAAAAATATTCCACCAATTGATAGTATCAAAAAATCGATAAATACTAAACTAGATGGAATTTGCTAAATTTAAAACTTTTGTTGATATTATCTAGAGTTAAATGTTCTTTCATAAAACCTGTGAGAAGAGTTTTCGAGTAAGAGTTCTATTTATTACATTTGGAAAATGATTTTCACGATATGCCTTCAGTGAATTTGAAAAAGCAGTAACGCAACTACTCAACAATCAGTTTTTGAAGGCCATGCTAAGGCAGGAGCATACCCAAACTAATTGTAATCTGCATGTGATATTAACTGTTTCAATAGAAAAAAAAAAAAAAAAAGTGACAAAATAAAGCATTCTTGATTTAAGATGATTTTTCTTTTGAATGAACATTCTATAATTATATTATTTTGTTACTTTTATTATTATGACTGCAGTTGTAAGCATTTTGTAGCTGAAAATGGTTGAAGTTAAAGTATAGTTTGTTTGATCTGGAGGATTTCATATGTTGGATGCAAAGGGAATAATTGGGCATATGCTGAATGTTATTTGCTTCCCCATAAATATGAATTGACAGTAAGTTACAAAATATATTGTTTTTTTCAGTAAGAAGGGAAACAGTGACTAAAGATACAAAAATATCTTTATATTATTCAAAATAATTCCCCATAAAAATTCATGACATTTAAATTAAGTCTAGCTGCACAGTATTTCAAAGTCACTCATTCATTTGCTAATAGTTACTGGAAATATTCTTCATTATTTTTCAGTGAAAGCTTCAAGTCTTCAAACCTCCTTATTTTTGTTAGTTTTAAAGAAAGCAAAATATCTCTCTTTTTATTTCTTCTTTATGTCTATCTCTGGTATTCCACGTTCACAAATTTACTGCTTTCTGCAACCAGTTTTCTAAGAGTAAAGCAAATTCTGAGAAGTGAGGAGCTATTTTGGATACTCAAATTCAATTATTTCGCATCTTCCATGAACACTGCACTACCAAAAACTTCAACAAAACAAATTTTGGATCAAATTTACATCATTCTCTTGCCAAAGTCCTGACAAAAGGTTGTTTTTTTTTTTTGTTTTTTTGTTTTTTTTTCTTCCCAATATTTCCCACTATCCACTATCATCAATATTGCAAAGTAAGCAGTGTCCCTCAGTACTAGATCAAGTACAGACTTGATCTCTGGAAGTCCCTTGCAACTCCTACAATAGTGTAATTCTGTGATTCTGACTAAGACAACAGGCATCCAAACAAGTTGTGATGCTTTCCTTTTACAATCACTATCAAATAGTGGTTATTTACAGGGAATGTCCATCATGTCACATGCCATGTTCTTCTTTCTCTTCACTACATTCAAAATGAACCTAGATTTACCAGGTCATATGTACACATCGAGTGTATTAAATATATTAAATGAGGGTCTCAGTGAGAATCCTTGGTGATGGTCTCAGTCTCTTTGCCTGTTTTTGTTCATTTTTGAGATTTGTCTGCATATTTTTTTACATTTCCTGTTATTTTGACTATTAATTAGGATATAACAATATATTTAAAATAAAATTTTAGACAATTCAACTAAAACACACATTGGGGGAAGTGCGCAGAAGAGAATCAGACACAATGACAAGTTCTTGAGAAAATCTACTGATTTCTAATTTTTTCTGTTTCGTTCTTTTGTTGTTGTTGGCGGCAGGTTTTAGTTACTGACTGTATCTTTCTGACTCATAGGGGCTTTACTCTTCTGCCCATCTGAGACTTCCAGGTACCAGAGTAGAGTACTCTGCAGATAACTGGTATGATTTTTAAAGAGAGACATAAAGAAGGCATTGAGAACCTCACCTTTTTCCTTATTCTCAGCAGTCACATTCCCAGCCGCATCCAGTAAAGAATGAACATTCTCCTTGGTCCTCCTCTTCATGTTAATATATTTGTAAAAGAGCTTCTTGCTCCCTTTTACCCTAGTAAAACATGGTAGCTATCATAAATACACAAAAGAAAGTCATATTTGCAACTATTATAAGACAAACTACCATTTCAATCAGATAGCATTGTCCGAACAGACAGTAGACTTTACTTTCCATATATTTCAATAACTACAAAGACTGTTAACAAAGAAATATTGGGTGATAGATTTGGTAAATTTACTTCATCATCTTTCTTCATTTGGAGAAATAATATATTTTGGTAAATTACACAGTATTACTGATAGATCTTTGTTGACATATGTTTTGACACAAATCTGCCAGATAAAATATTAGAAGATAGTACTGATGTAGTTATTTATCCCTATGGACTGTACTATATGCATATATAGGAACATAGATAAACATGGTCCATTCTCAGAAAAAAAGATCCCTCCTTTCTCAATCAGCTTTTGAAATTGAATATACATTGAAAATATTGTAATTGATAGGAATTATATTATTTCTAATAGAAAGAAAAACAAAAAAAACATATCTGCAATCAGTAGAAGATGGTTTCTCTATTACCATATTACCTCTGGTGCTGTTTTTCCTAGTTGTTGAATCTGACCAAAGAAAGGCTAAAGAGCAGCATGTGCTAGAAATAATAAAAACTGCATGAATAATTTAATGATTTGACACAGATTCATTATAAAGTTGCCAAAAGTCATTCAAATCATAATTTGATGTTGGAAAAAAAATGTGCATTTATAACAAAAAATTATAGACTATCTTAAAACTGTTCTACTTTTGTTAAGATGATTATATTTCTAGTCCAAAGAACTATGAAGGCTAATGCAAACACCTGATTTTATTGTGCTTTGTTTCTAGCTGCTTAATATTTTTATTGGGCCTAGAAATTCCTTAGCTGGGTCTGCTTGCAGCTGAATAACGCTTAGATGCTTTGTCCCAAATTCTTAATTATTTCTAAGACTCAGACTAGGGAAAACATAATTTCATTGTGCAGCTCAAGTGCACCGGAGTTTTAAAAACTATTCATAGGTATTCAGTGAAGTTTCTGATGGCCTTTAAGGATTGTCTGGTAAAAACACATTACAGAGTAACATTTATGCTTTAGCAGTTTAACTATGTACATAAGTAATGGAAAATAAATTTATTCACCCAAATCTCAGAAGTCTAATCCAAACCAAATTAAAAGAATAATTTTACTGTAATAATACCCCTATGAAAATATGTTTTAATTAAGCCACTGAAACTAGAAATCTAAATCTCTGGAGGCAAACATTTGGATTAGGAAGAGGTTTTGTTTTCAGGTATGTCTGTTTTCTACTCTATTTTTCAGCAATGATTGCAGCTTCAGGCTTTCAGTACACAAGAAATATTTGCTTATAAAATTTATTAATGATTTCCAGATTTATTTTATAAAAGGAATTTTCTCAGATGCAGCATCCCCATGAGTATGATGAAGCAACCTGAGTTAAAGAGGTGTTTCACAATGTTTATTTATCCCAGCAAAAGAAAACGATTATGCTATGGAAGGTCAGAAACCAGGTGTAGAAGTGGACTCTGTAGAACAAAATATCTATCTCTACTAGAAATATAGTTTACTATTTAATAAAAATATAAATAGGAATCACTTTATGAAACCACACTTCTTGACTTAGCACTACCTTTCTGCTTCCTTATTTTTCTCAGGTAGTTTATAAATCATTTTCCCTTGCATTAGGAAGAGAAAGATATGTGTATATTTACAAGACAGAATGATCTGATGTTTTGTCAAAGCAAGAGTCCCTTGTATAGTGCCTTATGTCCTTTTTTCCAGGTACAATATAGACAAAACTGCATGTGAGAAAAACAGTACTGTATTCCAGTTATCATATTTTCAGATATCTTGCAGTATTTCCAGGGAAAGTATCAGAGGTTCTGAGCTGTGAGGATGTAAGGACCTTCACAGTACACAACGCCTTCTCACAGTAGAACCTGGTTGCTATCCTGCAACCAGGACTTCCATATTCACAACTGATCATTTCCATGCTCTGATGTAGACTGTGTTAGAGTGTTGGGTTTCTTTCCTTTAAGTTCACATTTCTTATGCTTTGTTCTCTAATTATGGGGAAGATATCCACTCTGCATTAAGCGCTTCCTGGAATAAGTTTAAGTGTTAGAAGTTCTGCTGCAGATCATTTATGTAAAATCATTTATATTTACAAAAACAAAGTATGACTTTTTTTCATAAGATGAATTAGTATTGGTGAGTCCAAAATAACTCCCAAGTATTAAAAAAAAAAAAAAAAAAAATCAAGAAAGCAAAATGACCTCGTTCTGGCCTCAGAAAAATTTTGCTGGATTTTTGTATGAAATTATAATTTTTTTTCAATATTTACTGGGAAAATGTTATTTTAGAAATAAAATAACTTGATATTGCAAAATTTTAAGGAATAAATTGAATCAGTTTTGTTTGTTTTTTTCATTTATATTCCAGTTATAACGTTACAAGATTTGCAGAACATATAGTCTCTTACTGCATTTCAGTTAATCATGAGACCTAGTCAGGCACGAGCAGCAGGCCCAGGTGAACCTCGTGAGGTTCTACAAAACCAAATGCAAGGTCTTGCACCTGGGTTCTGGCAACTCCCATTATCAGTACAAGCTGAGGGATAGAAGGATAGAGCACAGCTCTGAGAAAAAGTATCTGGGGGTTGTTCAGCCTGGAGAAGAGAAGGCTCTTAGGGTGACCTGAGAGCAGCCTTTCAGTATCTAAAGGGGAGCTGCAAGAAGGAAAGGAACAGACTCTTTAGCTGGTTCTGTTGTGATAGGGCAGGGGAAAATACTTCAAATGTTTCAAAGTGAACCAGAGATTTAGACTGGATATTAGGAAAAATTTAACAATAAGGGTGGTGAGGCCCTGGAACAGGTAGCAAGGAGAGGTGGTGGATGCCCCATTGTTGCAAGGTGAAATTAATTGTTGTTTGTTATATTGATCCTACTCCCTTCAAATTAAGACTCAGAATTAAGTCAAGGTGTTGATCGAGCAAGAGTATGCCTTTAGTTATTAAAACACTTGAGAGTGAAAGAGGAGAAGGGAAAGAGAGAGAGAAAAAGAAAGAAAAGGAAAGAAAAGTCACCACTGAGGATCCTGTGATGTCCTGAGGGTCCATCCTTTTTTTTTGTTTTCTTCTGGGCTGGTCAAGAATGCAGCGGGGTATGACCTACTGGCTGTTGGGTTGGCAATTCCTTTTATGCCAAATGATAGTCCCTTCCAATTGGGCCAGGAGCTGTTGCCAGGAGGAGAGTATCTGAAACTCTGTATGTGTCTGTTCATTGCAGGGGAGCTGGACTAGATGGCCTTTAAGGCTCCATTCCAACTTGAATGAATGTATACTTGTGCTTTATTTTTCCTGTCTTTGTGGGCCAGGAAAGATGATTTAATATATATAAAGCATAATGCTGTTATAAAATAAGTAGTTCATGATGTCAGTATAAAACAAACCAAAAAAAACCTAACATCAATCTGAGTACTTATTTTTGCCTTTTCCATCTAATTGCCAACACTTGTATTTAAAACCTAATTTTAAATGACATATCACATCAACAAGTAATCTATAGATTTGCAGTTTGCATAGAAGAAAATAGATATTTTCACGTACTGTTTATCTACTTTTGCCAAATTCAAGCCTCTTGTAACTGATAGAATATTGATATTTTTAATATCTGATCAGAGACAATAAGCACAGCATGAGAATGACCATTTCCAAAACATAAAAGACTCTAGGAGTTCACTGTCACAACCTGTATAAAATAAAATGTATACTTCTCTAACAAGCATTTGGAATATAAAACAAACCAAGCTATTTATGCTTGGAAGATTTTTCTAAAACTCTCAAGCATGACCATGGCCTAATGCATTGCAGACATTTTATTTCAATTGTGTTGCTGCCAAAGTTTTGGAAGGGAGCACTTATAGCTTTTCATTTTTCATTTTAGGCCAATGTGAAAAAAAAAATTAAAATGTCTTGTCAGTTGAGATAATAGAAGAATCATCTTTTTCTTTAATGGCAATCGTTTCCACTGTCCCATGAGAAAGTAGTTTCCTTCATAGGAATCTGTCTCCCTTTGCTCATCTGTATCAGTGTATTTTTTAAATTTTCTTATTTCCTCCTTAAGACTTTTGTGCTCCAGCTGCTGCTGTTGATTTCAATGGGAGTTTCGCTTGCTTGATTCCTGCAGTAGTGCTTTAATCTATTATTATGATACAACTTATTAATCTATCATTTGGCATTAGGCAGGAACTAAAAACTTGAACACTACTCCTTAATTCTAGACTATGACATTTTAAGCATAAGCAGAAAGGAAAAAAGAAAAAAGAAGTTACAGAGACTAAGTGGAGTTGGTTTTGGCATATATGTGTTTATGGGAGAGATATTTCTGCAAACAAACTCAGGCATTTTAGCTAACTCACTTGACTTGCAGAGCATTGAAATAAGGAGCATATTTAGCTTCCACTGGTAGTTCTGAACTGCAAATATACTGTAATGCAAGACTGCAATGGAAAGATGATGGCTTGGGAGACACTTTTCTCCTAATGACTTGGTAACCAAAAAAAAGTATTAAAAATTTAGCAAATGTATGTTACCGTAACTAAGAAATTTAATAAACGTGAAATCTATATTGTTTAAAACTAAGGGAGAATTTTCTATCTCAGATCTCTATGTTGCTACCCATTTTTGTCTAGAATCTGAGCCCAACTTGTAGTCTATGAAGTCTATGACATTTCTTTCAAATATAAAAGTTCTTGACTTGTTCTTTTTTGTTGTTTGTGTGTTTGTTTTTTAATTTTTTACATGCCAAATCAAATAAAAATATATTTTCTATTCCATTCTTGTTAATACTTTTTTTTTTTTTTTAACTGGATATCTGAATAGTCTGCTTACCTTTATTGAATGTTCACTTCTTGGGGTTTTTTGTTTTTGGTGTGTTTTGTTTTGTTTTGTTTTGTTTTTCCAGAATATTCAGAAGCTGTTCCTGGTCTCCCTACATCATATGCTGCTATTCTAAGAATCAAATCTGGTAGTTCATCTTTAGCTTCATCTAACTCAAAGAACAGACCACGATTAAGCAGTCCTTCGTTAGGAAGTGTACCTTCGCCAGGCTGGAGAGAAGCTGCACAACCTTATAATTCCCCAACAAACCTCTATCACTTTTCAGAGGCCTTCAAACATGATGGTAAGCCTAGTTTACCTCTCCAAAAAGCCATGCTTATATTTGGCCAAAACATTTTTTCAAAAGCAGCATATTTTTATCAGTTTACTTCAGTTATTCTCAGATGTAGTTCTGAGTTTAATTAAATACAACAAAGTAGAAATGAGAATCTTTCCCTTCAGATTTTTCAGATTAGCCTTATGGGCATCAGTTAAAATATTCTTTTTTAAAAATATTGCTATGCAGCATGTTTTATATAGCTTTTGCCACATTAAAATAGCAAGCTAGTGATTTGAAGTTGCATTACAGCACAATTTGATCTTTTAAATTAATATACTTAAAATTTGAAAACCAAAATAATAAAATGCCTGCCCCTCTTATCTATTTTTCCCTTGGGAATTTTTCTGATTTACTCAAGAATGATAGTAACATCAATTAATAATGAATAGTAAACCTTTTAAAATTATTTTTTTCTAAATTGCCTAATTTGTATAGTCAACTCTACACATGCAGGTATAGATAAATTTATTAGTGCAATATGGTCTAATTTACATTTAAATGCAATAATTCATAGTAATAATACATATTTTCTCATATTTGCATATGTTTAAAGAAGCCACATGTTTAATTATATTTATCTGAATTATATGCAAAGGAAAGAATATGGGGGAGATAAGGTGGAAGAGGAAGGAAGAGAAAAAGGAAGGAAGGAGGGGGAGAAAGGTTAGAGGATCTTTAAACAATGATCTAAATAAGTAGCAGAGGAATGAAACAGATAAAACTTCAGATCAACAACATTTGCATTCATGATTGCAGGATTACAGCTCCTCTCAATAAGAGCTGTAATTTTTTGCATTTTTTTCCTGAAAAAACTTTGCATTTATTGAAAGCTGATGGTATATACATGTATCTTTTGTGAACAATAAACAGAAAAACAGAAATAGCTTATATACTAGCATAATACGTTCCCTAAATTAAAGTTTATTTAATACACAAACAAATAGAAATATAGAATTGGAGAAATTCTGTTTGATTCTATTTCTGGAACTGGTGCAGTTTTCTACATTTGACTTTCCTTTCTGCAATATTCTTTGTAAGCAGTGTGTAGACTAATCTTGGTTACTGTCTATGAACCAGACACTGATAACTCCTCCCAGGCAACCTGATATGTGTAGGTGAAAATCAAAGGTCAGGATTAGAAGCAGAATGTATTATCCTGGCCTTCAACAGCATGAGTGTCTGGAGACCAAAGGAGAAGAAATTGGTAGCTTCAAGGCAAGAAGGGAGATTATATGAATAATGTAGTATATTCTGTAACAATAAAGTATGTCTTTCCTGATTGATCCTGATTTTTCCACTGCATTTCCTTAGGAAAGGGCAACTGGGGAAATAAAAAAAAAAAAAAGAAAGAAAGAAAAGAAAAGAAAAAAAATAAAAAATAAGGCATCTCCTTGTGTTTAAATTTGGTACAGTTTGACTGTTATACTTGAATGAGAGATGTACTTGGGGATGCTCCAGGTAAGTGTTCTACCACCTAAATCCTTGGCATTTTCAGGAGATAGGCTGAGATCATGCCTGATGTAGGTCAGCAAACATGAATTTTCTCAAAGCATAGAAAGCATGTTCACCTCTGCAGTTTAGCTACTTCTATTTTGCAACAGAAATTGAAGAACCAACAACTGAAAGCATAATTTTAAAAGGGCCATAACTCATAAGCCTTGATGAACAGAGCAGTTTACATAGAAGAGAGAGACTTAAATTCTTTCAAGGAATTCATAAAACAGTTCTAGGAGAGTAAGTCCATCAATTACCGGTCTTCGTATACCTAGTTGTGTAGATGCAGACTGTTGAATAAACAGGAAAATTTGAGACATCTGAGTAGTATTTTAAAACTCCCTGATTATCTGAAGCACTTGCACGGCACAGACACAGGTATGAAACAGACTTCAAGATCATCATTTCTCAGGCAAGGAGGGATTGAGAACTCTGTGGAAGGAGACTGGATATCTCTGCAAGATACTCTATCTCATCCAAGATGGTGAGAACACCAATTATCTAAACCTCTCAGTTCATGATATGGAATATTTTCTGTTAGTCTGAGATAAATATTTCTACTTAACAGATAGAAAACAGAAATAAATTATCAATCATTAGGCATTCCATGTACTTAAAGTAAACTAAGTAAATTTATTGATTTATATTTGGTCTCGAGGCTTATTCATCATTAAAAATCTCTTGAAAGATATTTTAGTTATTTTAGTTATTTTTCTACATGTGATATATATTAGAGTTAGGTGAAGGTACTTATTAGACAGCATGTTCTAAATGTGAAAATGGTACAGAACTCAGTGCTTGTGTGTGGTCATTAGGGACCTGCTACAAGTGAGAGGATCTTAACTATATGGACAAGGAAGATTCATCATTATAATTGAGCACTTGCTTGATTCAAACATCTAATGTATGGTATACACTCAGGTTTGCCAGAAGAAAAGACAAAACACTTTTATTAGCAACCTAAGTATGTGTGTTCTCAAGTGAGATTTAATTGATTTTCCAGAAGACATGCTCAGTGGCCTGACACACAAGCTGAGTCAATTTTTTTTGTAGAATGTGAGTACCTAGTTCTACAGTATCTGCTAGGTACCCTCAAAGTACTTAAGTAAGGTACTCAAGTAAGACATAGAAAAGTGGTAGCTTTTATAATAAAAGTCTATATGAGAAACACAAATGCTTCCCATTAAAAATTGAAATTGTAAAGTGAGACATATGCTTAGTATGTATGCTAAATATGTCTATCTTTTCACAGCCTTGATTAAGGTAGAAGTAAAAAAAATAAGGTGTGTAAGGTGTCCTGCATACACACAAGAGTCTTGTTTAAGAGCATGGGTGAAAAAAAGCCTAATGCTTTTCAACATAAATTGGCCCCCTGAAGGGTTCAGAAAATATGCATATATAAAAATGTCTCTTTCTATAGCACCTATAAAAACATATACAAAGATATATAAATTAAATATAATAAGGAAATAAAGACAATATAGAAAAACCCCCAAAAATTCCCCCCAGAAGACCACCTGACCTAGAAGAATCAGCAGATGGGTTCATGAATCAGAAATCTAAATTTTGAGATACATTTTGAGATTTTCACATGGAAGAACAGTGGCAGCATGTGCGAATCTCCCCTCACTCACAGCTGAGGAACACCTCCAGCCCCTGTGAAGCTGCGGTGCAGTGCAGATGGGGACGGGAGGCTTACTTCATCCCTAGGACAATGGCACCCCAGAGAGATGCAGTGATCTTGGGCAAAGTGGCTGAGAAGGGACAGGAGAGGCACTGTGACACAGCATACTGGTTGTGTCCCATCTGAGCCTGCAGATGCAGAAGGTGGTATAATATTAACACACACAGGGAGCAGCCATCTGCAGTTGACATGGGCAACACTTTCTGGTGCAGTCAAGACATGGAAGGAACAGGATGCCATCCAGAGGGTCCTAGACAGGCTTGAGCAGTGTGCCCAAGAGAACCTCACGAGCTTTAAGAAATTCAAGTGCAAGGTCTTGCATCTGGGTCAAGGCAACCCTCACAAGATGGAACAAGATGGAAGGTGAAAGGATTGAGTGCAGCCTTGCCAAAAAGGACTTGGAGGTACTGGTGGGTGGCAGGCTGAAGATGAACCAGTAATTTGCCCTTGCAGCCCTGAGAGCCAACCATATCCTGGGCTGTATCAAAAGAAGTGTGACCAGGAGGGTGAGGGAGGTGACTTTGCTGCCACTTTGCTGGTGAGGCCTCACTCAGAGTACTGAGTTCAGATGTGGAGTTCTCAGTACAGGAGAGACATGGAGCTGTTGGAGTGCATCCAGAGGAGGGCCACAAAAATGATCCAAGCGATGGCACACCTCTCCTTTGAGGATTAGATAACCTTTAAAGGTCCCTTCCAACTCCAAGGATTCTATGATTCTAACCCAATCCAGGGCTCTCTCCATCTCAGGCCAAGGCTGTCAGTCCCATGTCTCCTGGTGGCTGGGAGACACCTATCCTGGTGTGGCCATATCACACACCCCACAGTAACACAGACCACCACTGGCCTACTGCCCACTGTGATATAGGCTCTGCATCTCTAGATTTTTGATTTCTTATCTCTATTTTGATGTCCTTGCAGAAAGCAGAAAATCCCTCCAGCCAAGTGGCTCCTGAGGACAGAAGCACATCATGGAGCCCTGCCCTCTTTCCCACCTCAGCCTTTGCTCACTCACTGCTCACCTCTGCCCTGGGCTTGCCGGCTAACTGCCTTTTATACACATCCTGGGTAGCCACCAACATTCTGCCTACCATGACACCGTCACAAGGGGAGGTTTCTGAATCTGGTGGAAGGCACATCCCTCATCTGCCTAAGACAAAAGGGCTCTTCTGTCTTGGTCAAATGTAGAGGGAAGCACAAATCCCATTACTCAGTTGCATGGGGAAAATGGCCTACATGGTGAGCCCACTATTGCTTCTATCTGTGGGGACAGGCCCTTGACCAGGGCTGTGCTCATCTCACTGACTGTCATTGCTTTGTCTGACCTTGCCCCATCTCCCCTTGGCCTCCTCCATGCTGTCAGAACCAGGGCAGAGGGACACAGAATTCAGCGTGGGATTGCAAATAAATAAAAGGATTGTCTGAATGCCAGGGAGAAATTCACATAATTAATACACTTAGTGCCACTTTGTCTGTCTTAAAACCAGTGATATGGCAATGCTTCTAAATCATCTGGAGGGCCGGTGGGGGTCACTAAGGCTTTTCACATTGCACTAAATATGTATTATAATGCCAATTGTAACACCTTGAAGCCCACCAGCTCCATCTATAGACAGGTAGTTCAGCCCAGTGCCACAGAACAAGGCCCAGCTGCCAGCACCAGGATCTACTGCATCACTTCAGGGGCTGGAAGGTCTCACATGATCTGGAGCTGCTGCACCAGAGCACGGCAGGAGTGGCACCCACTTTTTTTCTTTTGTTTTGTTCAGAATTCTCAAAAAATCTAACTATCATCTTGGTTACTTATGAGACAAACATAAGATCTCAAAGAACATAGTGGCACAACTTGTTCATGATCAAACTGTGGAAAGATTCAAAGATACATTTTCAGGGAAGACTCTCAACAGAAAGAGCAATCTGATGCAATGTATTAGGCCTGGAACTAACAGACAGCATTTATTTATCCTGATGTTGGCTTTCTTGAGCATAACTGAGACTTCTTCAGTCTAGTTTATAAAAGCACAAATGAACAATCTCTGTGAATATTAATCAACATGCAATGATGCTGTAGACTGATAAAATTGTATCTAGGTTTTTAATGATGATTAAATATGTGTTTAATATGTGGTACAATACTCCTAAAAGAGAAATTAAGAAATTCCCAGTTGTAATCATGTGAAATTCATGTGGTAATCCACATCAAACTGGAATCCTAAAACAAAATGCAATCAAGTTCTCCTAAGTATTTGCTGTTGTAGTTAATGTATATATAACTTAGAATTCCTGGATGACTGAACATTCCCAAATAATACACCAAGATTGGTAATTAAATTAAAAATATTTAAAAGTGACATCTACTCAGTATTTCCAGTTCTTAAAAGCAGTGACAGACGATATTCTCCTATTCCTAAGAACTCTGATTAAGTCCCATGCTGACCACACAAAGGTTTTATCTGAGCACTTGAGATTTTAGACTACGTATTTTTCTCTCAGGGATAATGTCTGCCTCAGAAAACAATAAAGCTAGGATAGCGGATAAGGAAGATATGATGTTATTCAAAATATGAAATATTATTGACAAACTGAAAATTATAAAGCACTATGAGGATAAAAGAATTTCAAGAATTTTGAAGCCATTCAATGTATCTCAATGCTAAATATCAATTATATTCTCTTGAAAATTATAAATTGAGATTTTTGTTCTTTAATTATTTTCTTTAGTATGAAAATGTTGAAAACTGCTTTGAAGTAATTGGTATTTAAAATAAAATCTGATGAGTAAGTAGGATGGCAAAAGACAGCCAAAAACCTTTAAACTTTTTCCTGAATTAAACTTTTTCCTGAAAATTTGGACGTTTATTCTACAATGCCATAGGTCTCTGTAGTATGAGTAGTGTTTTATACATTCATATACATTTTTATTCTAGAAAAAAATGATTAAATATATACATAAACTTACTCACATTTGTTTTTGGAGATTTAAGACAGTTGAATCACCAGTTTGCATTCCTGAGTCTCGTACTACTAAAATTGCAAAAATTATCAGTACGTACTGGCTTCTGTGAAATGTTCTTAAATCTCACAGTTTCAGAGCTTTTATTAGCACTATGTTTAAAAAAAAATTGTAAATTTTCTTTTTAACCATAAGCCATAAAATATTTTAATTTGAAAATACATACATTTCAAAATATTTAAATGAAATGTTTGCATCTTCAGTGTATTCCTTTTATTGATTTTGAAATATAGACAGGAGGTATAAAACACTGAAGATTTCCACTTTCTAGTCTGTCACTGGAGTTTAAATAAAGATGGTATTTCTAGGTGATCTGTTCTGACTTCTTGCATATCACATATCACACCCCACTGCATTTTATTTAACCAATCATTAGATAAGCTTAATAATTTATACTTTGCTTAAGACTAGGCTTTTTTATTAAATACTTTGGTCTCTTCAGAATAGACCTATTTCTCCAATTATTCTGGTATGGTATAGATAATTTTGCTGGGAAGTAGGTTAGTCAGTTTAGCTAAAAACTGATGAACAGTCTAATTTATTATTATGTCAATTTTGAGACTCTAATTGATCTCTGCCAGAATGCCACACTCCATCTGAAACGCAGATAAGCAATTAACTTCATATTTCCATCTTTTAGAAACAAGACTTGCAAGCACTTAAGTTTCTCTATTACTTTTATCTTATTGCAAACAGAGGAAAAACACATTCTTTTAATACTTCATAACAAAAGTATCTTTTTGGCCACAACCATTCAGAATACTGGTTTCCATCCAAGAAGTTCTCTTGGTTATAGGAGAAACACCTCTGTCAATAGTGATGCAGGAACCTAACTAGCATTGCAGCATTTTCCTTCCTTTCTAGCAATCCTAGTTTGTAATAAAATATTCTATCTATTGGATTACTTCCAGGGAGAAGATAAAACCATTATTCTTCATCAATACCATCTAATCATGCACCTGTATCTGCACAGGATAACACCTACATCTGAAACCATTATTTAATTTTGCAATTGTTATTTAATTCTTGCTATTTCTAACTCTAGGTGGATGAGTGCTCTGATAATATATGTCCAGAAGTATTAATATTCCTACAAGAAGCAATCCATATAATGCATTGTGTCCATAAAATAAGACAAAATCCTGTTTCTCCTATACTTCAGGTGATAGGGCAAAGTGACTACTTCCCTGCTTACAAAAATCTTTAGGCTCTAATTTTGATGAGTATTTTGTGTCTAAGTGACTAAGGAGTTTGGAGCAAGCCTAAGTTGATTCAAATTCTGCAGTCTCCTATTGCATAGTGAGCATTTGAGTTTTCCAGACTTATATATGATGTATGCTATATTTACAGCCTTTTACTTTTCTGAAGGTTACACTTCTCTCTACACACTATGAAAGAACAGGACTCACAGGCGTACTCTATGCATCTATCCAGTTTTTCTTGCTTGGAAATCTAAATTCATACGAAGATACAAATGTATACCAAAATTAGAAAAGACAACGAAGGAGAATGAAATGTCAGATTTTCATATGTATTATTTATTAGTAGAAACCCATTGCTACCATAGTTTTCAAATGACTTTTCTTAGAAACTCTTTGATTTGAAGAAAAAAGCCATGTCTCAGTTTTCTGTGATATGAGCTACTGAGGATTTCTGTTTACCTTACTGTGTATAAGCAGAAATCACTCATTCTTAATTCTCTTTACCTGCTGTATGGGAACCATTAAGACACCACCTGAACCAGTGATTGAGCACCTGGTTGAAGGGGTGTAGCCAGCCCTGGGAGCACAGTGGAAGCCATTCACCTGTGTGACCCAGAGAATCCATCCCTCCCTAACCTCATTCAAGGGCTGGTAGCCACAAGGGAAGCATTTGTACTTGGAGATTGCCTCCTTTGGAGTGTTTGGTGAGCTCTGAGTATTGGAAAGGGGTAAGCAATTTCTTCCTTATTATTGGATTGTGACTTCTACCTTTCTTTGTGTGATTTAAAGCAGCGGTATCTGCTATCATCTACTCTTAGACCTACATATTAGGCTTCAGACCAAAATATGTTTGTTAAGAAAACCATTTTGTCTCTTATCTTAAATGATACTATTTCATTGTTAAATTAAAAACATTCATTTTATATATATGTATATATTTTTTTTAACTATTGCTTTTTAATATGTCATCTGAAGTAATATGGTTTAAATCTTTTCCAAAACAAAGACAATTTTGCAAACTGTAACTTTACAAAAGCTATAAAACATCAACTTCTTCAGACTTTCAAAACAATAGCACTTCTGTTTCCACAGAAAATGTCAATTATGGACCAGTGTTTGTACAGGAGCCAGATGATGTGATTTTTCCCACTGATTCTGAAGAGAAGAAAGTGTCTCTGAATTGTCAAGCTCATGGAAATCCTACCCCCACATATAGGTACGTCTTATAGAATTTCTTTGTAACTTTAAGTATATTTGCTACTGGTGCATACTTAAAGCTGAGAGTAGTATGCTGCAGACACTTTGTCCACTTACTACATCCCACACTGCTGGCTCATGTCCAGCTTCTTGTCCACCAGGACTGCCAACTCCTTCTCTGCAGGGCTGCTCTGCAGGAGATCTTCTCTCAATCTGTGTAAATACCTGGGATTGCCCCAGCCTAAGTGTAGCACATTGCACTTGGCTTTTTTGAACCTCATTAGGTTTTCATAGGCCCAGTTATCCAGCCTGGCCAAATTCCTCTGGATGGCTTCCCATCTGAGTAACTGATGATATGTTCATAACCTATTAATTTAATTTTATTTTTTTTTAGATTTTTATTTTTTACAAAAAAACTTGTTTCTCTTTGAAGCTCCACTCAGAAATTAAAATTTTACATCCTGTTGTTGTTGTTGTTTTTTAATCCCAGCTGGCAGCAGGTTATTCCATACCGCATGACATCATGCAACATGCTGTAAAGCTGTGGGGACTTAGCCAGGGGGAGGAGGTGGTGGCTGTTGCAGGAGGATTAGCTAGGCATTGATCAGTGGATGGTGAGATGTTGTATTGCTGTAGGAGTGTGGTTGGGAAAACAGCTGTATTGTTCTCAGGTGGGGAGTAATTGTGCTGTGGATGCATATATGCTGTAAGAACATTTTGTTTCTGCTTTTCTTTTCTTTTAGCTTTTATCTCAATCCAGGAGTTCTTTTTTGTTTCCAGTTTCTTTCCCTCATCCTACCTTAGGCGGAAGTGGCCAAACAGCTGTGTGGTGCTTCACTGCCTGCTGGATTAAACCACGCCACTTTCCCCTTCCCCCCTCGGCCTCCCTTTGTGTTCCAGTCCTTATGTAAGATCTTACATAAGAACTTACTTAATTTGCTCAGCATTTATGCAAATCATACTTCATTATCATAAGTCAGAATCCACATAGTGAGAAGACTTGCCATGAAAAATATGGACATTCATAGTATTCCTATAGACCTTCATAAGGCACTGATGGTAATGAGTGTGTGCAGAATTCTCCATGATGCCACTTCGCTACACCTGTTTCTTGGGAAGTACTGAATTTCCTTCGGTTATGTTGAGTAGCCTGCAGAGACCCACACTGCTACAAGATCACTCTGCCCTCTGTGGAATGGGGGAGATAAAAGTGAGAACACAGTTTAATAGGTACAACAAAAACTGTGTACACAAGCAAAGCAAAATAAGGCATTCATTCATTACTCCCCAACAGCACGTAGATGTTTAGTCATTTCCAAAAATGCAGGGCTCAATCATATGTAAGGGTTGCTTGGAAAGATAAGTGTAATAGCTCTGAACGTTTCCCTGGATCATTTCCTGCTCTTTTCTCCTAGCTTTTACTGCTGAGCACATATGATACAAAATATCTCTAGTCAGTTTAGGTCAGTTACCCTAGCTGGATCCCCTAACTGTGCACTCGCAGCACAGCAGCATAAAAAGCGAAAATATTCTTGGTTCTGCTTAAGTATAGCTCAGCAGCAACTAAAATATCAGTGTATTATCAAAACTATTTCACTGAAGATGGGGGAGAAAAAAAATACAGCACTCTACAAGATACTATGAAGAAAACTGTCTCAGCCAAACCTGCATGCTATTTTATTTATGTTGGAGATTTTTCATCAGTAAGATGTCCTGGTATATAAAGACAGTTGAAAAAATTAAATAAAGATATTGTTAATTTATTAAGCCAAATTAAAGTGTTTTGAAGTATGTTGTTGTTTGTCCTCAAGAAAAAAAAAAAGTAACATTTTTCTCATAAAGTCACTGTCTTTTTAATATTATGTTTGCATTTCTCTCCTCCTACTGGTCAAGCTACCTAGAATAAAACACATACAATTTAGGGTTGCTTTTCCTCTAACATTCTTGGATTATGTGATGGGAATACATTCATTAGAATGGCCTTGAAACATGTAGCCAGGTAGATATGAAGCTCCTAAGAACTGAGGTCGTGCCTACAAAAACATATTTTTGCATTGAATTTGACTGAATGTGAACTAAGTGAACTGAGCTTCTTTAAGTGAACTATTTTGTTTTGTGTCCCAACTGGAAATACCAAAACATGCCATTTTTACTTTTTCCTTATCTGAATGTCCATCAAGATCAAATATTTTTTCACTTTTATCATATACATATATGTAAATTAATTTTCATTAGGATTTCATTCAAAATCTTAAATATTTAATAGATCATTCAAGATGAGAATTTGTCTTTTTAGCTCTGTTACATATGGCTCTTCTTAAAAAAATTGTAAATCCTGCAGACCTCTCCTAAATGTCCCATGTGATATATTGTCTTCAGTGCTCCACTTCTTGTATTGAATGAGGCAGGCCTCTTCTGCGATCAAAAGTTCGATCATGATAAAATGGGCAAATGATAGTTTTATTATCCATCTTAATTCTGTCAATTCTGACTTTTGGATTGAGAAAAATTTAGAGTTAATTTAGCTGAGTTCTGCTGCCAGTATCTCATTCAGAATGAATGTTTACAAGATAGGGTGAATTGATAATCATTCAGCTTCTTTAAAGTTGCCTCTGGAGCCCAGACTTTGCCAAGTTCTCCCAGTCTTTTCTGAATTTTGGCAAAGCGTGAAAGTGGTTGGCAGTTTCCTGAGTAAACTTTGAAATTGCAGAGTGATTGTGAGCTAATAGAAGGAAAATATCTGTGCCTCATAATAATGATGCTATGTGAGGGTTTTCATAGAGATTTGTGATGCCTACTACTCTGCTTATATCTTCTTTGAAATATCAGAATCATTATTTTAACAATTTTATTTTCTTAACAGTTTAACATAAAAGCTGATTTAAAAAGTCTTCTTATATGAGTTATTATTCTTTGAGATAATGCATACTCCCCAGAGATTATTTCTGAGAACTGGAGTCTATTGATAAGCCTCCCAAAATATTTTCTCTTATCTAGTGATCTATTTGAGGCTTTGTTGTTTCAGTCTTCATAGATGAATAAGAAGAATGAGGCTTTTCACCAGAAGAATATCCATTCTCCTTACTCCCTCAAAACAACAACTTATTTGTCTGAGGCTTTAATGATAAAATGTGAATTGAAACTTCATTTATCATTGACATATTATATGTATAGTCTCATTCTTGACTTCTTGACATATTCAGGATGCATCTGCTACAGAGATTTAAATAGTTTTGTAATACCAAAACAAAACATTAAACCTTTTACAAGTTTTCATGTGCTGTGCAGTCTTCATCCAGAGTTTTGCCAAAGCATTGGGGTACAGAATAGACTATCTCTGAATAATAACCATCCCTAGTGATAGCTGATGCTTTCGGGTTCTGTATACAATTCTTTTGGCCCTAAAATGTTCAAGTAGTTTTTTCTTTCTTTTCCTCAGATGGCTTCGAAATGGAACTGAAATTGATGTTGAAAGTGATTATCGCTACAGCCTAATAGAAGGAAGTTTGATCATCAATAACCCTAATGAGATGAAGGATTCTGGACAGTATCAGTGTTTAACGACCAACATGTTTGGTAGCATATTAAGCAGGGAAGCTGTTCTTCAGTTTGCATGTGAGTAACAATCTTTTTCATTTTTTAGCCTAGGTAAATCTTTACATTGTTTGATAAAGTAACTGTAATTTCAACGCATTAAAAGTCACAGTGTCTGCTGATGTTGCTGGGTTATAATCTCAGAACTGGAAACAAAATTCTAAGTAGGTAAGTGGTTTTCTCTGGATTTTTGACTTTCAGGGCCCTTTATCATTCTAATTACATCCTGCTAAAATCTGTTTGTTTGTTGTTTTTTTTCTTTGTTTTGACTCTCCAATCAAACAATTCAAAAAGGAGTGTTTTATTTATTTATTTTTTAAAGAGAGAATGAAGAATGGGGTGAAAGAGGAGTTATTTTTTTTGTTTGCACACCTGCCTTTGTAGGTGTCGAATTTGTTATGCCACAATAACCACAATGTATTTTCTCCTCGTTGAAGCTTTTACTTGGGAATTTTAGGGAAGCTTTCTCATGCAAGTAGTTTAATGAAGGAATGCTAATGGGAAGACCTGAGCTCAGACAATGTTGCAGAGCTTGTGTGAGAGAAGAACCTTTTATAAACACAGAATTCTAAAAATGAAAGTCATAACTGGTTGAATTAAGTCATAATTAATTGAATTTATTTCAGAAATTTGTGAGGAGATGTTTCACAAGAGCAATTTCAAGCTCAGTGTGTATTGGAAGAATTTGAACTTCTACCTAGTATGATATTCTGTCTTCAGATCTTGATGTAGTTCTGCAATATTTTTTTCTTAAAGCCTTCTTCAAGAGATTACCATTTTGATCATTTCAGTATATATTGGTGAACATTTAGATGTCAACTATTTGCTTCTCAAATCTAATATTTAAACATGTTATGAACTCCTTTTATTCTGTAATTCCAACGGCTAATATGTATGTCTTCTTTCGATATCAGTATTCTTTCCTCCTGATGTTCTAGACCCATTTACCATACTCTCCCAGTACTGAAGTTCTCTCTTTCTGCATTAAGCTTCTCTGTCTAAAAGTTGAAGCAATATAGCATGTGCATGCTAGCAACTGTAATCTCTCTCAATTTGAATTCCACATCTCTTGGAGACTACGTGTTCTTTTTTCTTCTTATAAAGCAAGATATTAGAGCAGTAATTAGAGTTCCTTTTTTTTTTTTTTTTTTTTTTTTTCTATTTTTGAATGATGCAAAGATGTGGAACTGAATTCCTCCATACAGTAAAAATGGCACACATTAGCATTCATTTATGCTTGCTGAATGTTTACAGGGACTAAACAGTGGTGTGTTTCAGTAGTGGTGCCAGCAACAGTAGGGTAACAGTAGGTAGCCTCCACTGGCACAGATTTTTACGTGTGGCATGCATGCTCTTGTTCATTGCTGGCAAAAATGCATAGCTAATGATGGTGACTATGTTAAAGATAGTGTGTTGTAGCTGAGAATTTTCTCTATCAAGTTATTGTGCCTTTGCATCTGTTAGAGTTTCCATGAAAATAAATAGGATACTTTCACTGTGAACTGTGTGTGTGTATATATCTGTGTGTTTACAAAACAAGTGATGCACAATACAATTGCTTACCACACTCCAGCTGATTCCCATCCAGTCCCCAGTCAGTGTCTGCTCCCCTTAGACCACATCCTCCAGTTTTATAGTTCTGTAGGACAACACGTTCTTTGGGATAACCCTTTGGCCAGTTTGGATCATATTTCCTGATTCTGTCCCCTGTCAGCTTCTTGTGTGTTCTAAGATCCCCCTCTGGCAAGACAGTATGAAAAGCTCAGTACAGCAACAGCTCAGCAACAACTTAAACATCAGAGTGTTAACAATGTAGTTTTTCTCCTAAATCCAAAACATAACATCCTTAAGCTCCAACCATAATAATAGCAGTAACAAAGATAGCGTTTACTAAACAGAAAGCAAATCAGAATTCTCTATCACAAGATCATAAGTTTAAAGTTACATTTCCAAATTTATTCATAGCAATATGTTCAAAAGGTAAGTTATCCATTTGCTTTAGTTTCAAATGTAATTTATATTTCACAATCTCAATGACAAGTTCATGTTAAAAGTTTTCTTAACAAGATTCTAATAAACTCATTCAAGAGCATTAGAGGAGTAATCACTGAATTCCATGATCCTTCTTTATATCAATGAATTTAGCAGTGTTGACTGTGAATAGTTCTACAGAAAAGTTTATTCAGGTCCAAGCACATCTTTAAGATTCTGCATTCAATGGAAACAAAAGGGAAAATAAATTAGTTATTCTATCTGCATTAAGAAAAACTGCACATATGAAGGTAAGAACATCAGCTAAATAATAAAGCAACTATAGCAGTTTTACAGTTGCTGCGAGCAGAAACTTAGATCTGTTTGATTACCTAGTAGTTTCAAAGATGTGCATAACAGTGAAAATATTTTGAAGATGTGAAACAAAAACAGAATGTAAAAGTTTTATGAAGTAAAACTTGTACACTAAGCACCTATACATTGATAGATGATTTTTATTTGATCTCTATCTCCCCTTCTTCCCTGGTTTCTTTTGTTAGAAATCTCTGTAACCTAAAGGGAGAAAATAAAAATTAAATGTTATTTTATCAACAATGATTGCTTTATGTATCTGTACTTCAGCTAAAAAGGAAGTGTGTTTCCCATGTGACTAAAAAATTAATGTTCCAATGGGTTCTGCTTGGTTCTGCTTTTTTTTTTTTTTTTTTTTTTTTTTTGGTGCCAGGTTGCCCAGTTTCTCTTTGGAACACACTGTAACTTTGATTACAACAGAAGATGTACTTTGTGCTTAGCTTCATCACATGTACAATTTCTATATTCCACTAGGTCACAGAACAAATCTGATTTTCTTTGTCTGTGGATTGTACAATGAATTATTACAACCTTTCTCAAGTCTACCATCAAAGTTTCAGTTAAAAAAAAACAAAACAAAACAAACAAAAAAAAAAAAACAGTAAGAACAGTAAGAAGGATTAGTGGGAAGTAAGGGTTAGAGGAAAGATTTTCATCTGTCGTTTATGCAAGTTCTCACTGAAACCTTATTAACCTACTTCTCATTGCTGTTTGTTGGTTTGTTTGTTTGTTTTTTAATTGACTCTAGTTCTAATTTAATCCACAGAGAAAGGTATTGATTTGATAAAATTTGATAATTTTTTTTTGTGAGTTACCATGATGTTTCAGTGTTGTACAGAATAAGAAGATATGGACATAAAAATAAATAAATTTCTGGGGAGATAGCCTATGTACTACACATTTCATCATGGCACACTTCTAACAGTTGACTAACTTTAACTTCCTAAGAAATAAGCTTAATGACCCATATTTTCTTTCCTGAAATCATGCTCCATGGATATCTTTTTGGATTTGCTACATGATTTCCTACTAAAAATTTATTTGTAAAGACTTAATTACAGCCTACTAGAAATGAGAAAATTCTTGATATCTTGTGTTAATTCCAGAATAAAAGCTGTCAGAAAATGCTTGGTCACATTATGATATCAGTGTTTCTTTCTAAATCATGCAAAGCTTAACATTAAAAAAAGAAAAAAGAAAAAAAAAAAAAAAGATGAGAACAAGGTGAATTGAGAAAATAAATTAGAATATTATTATCATTATTTTATCTTTTAAAATATTCCTATTAATTCTGTAATACAGACTGTTGTGCACTGCTTTGGGCTGAAGCCAACAGAGCAATGTGACAAATGTTACCATGTCAGATAGGAATAGAAAGAACTAAAATTGAAGTTTACACTATAAAACTTTGGGATTCTCTCTCTGTAATTCCAAGCTGCTGCTGCTAGGAAATTTCTCAGAAATACAATTTTTCTTAAGCGAAAACAGTAGATAATCTCCACTGGTGCAGATTTTTACAGGATGGAATGCAGGTTTTTGTTCAGTGTTTGCAAAAATGCGTAGCAAATGATAGTGACAATGTTGAAAAGTAGTGCTTTATAGCTGAGAATTTGCTCTATCAAATAGTGCTATTATGCTCTTGGTATCTGCTGTAGTTTCCGTGGAAATAAGTAGGTGGCATTACTTTCAGAGTGACCTATATAACTATCCTATCTAAAAATATCTGCTTAATCTTTGAGGGGTTGATGGAAAGATCTATGTACTTAAAATTAAGCACATGCTTGAATTATTTTTTGTTGTTCAATATGAAAATTTCTAAAGTGAGAACTGTAACAAACTTGTGTGTGTGGGTTTTTTACCTCACTGTCATTATGACAGAAATACGACAGGATTAATTAAGCCACCTGCCATTCATTTCTTGATCCTTTATTTTTTTAAGTGAATAAATAGCTTAGAATAATAAATGTCATGCCTCAAAAATACAGGAATGCACTGCAACTTTTATCCATCAGGAAAGGTATTTATGAGTTCATCAATTTGGCTCCGATGAAACATTGCGTTTGACCTTGCTTTACAGAAATGAGTCCATCCAATCCTGAAAGCGAGTCTAGAAATACAATAGAATCAGCACTTGAGAGGTCACCTTAAACTGGGAAAAAAAGTATCCAGTCTTTCTAAAAGAAATGGTAAAATGAATATTACATATCTTTTGTTCAAATTTCCTAACAGACCAATAATAGGTATTGCCAGATAGCAACCCTTATGCAAGAGAATTCAAATACGTTCAAGAATTATATCTGCTGAAAGCTTCAGAAGTAAACACAAAGCTGTATCTTCTGCTACTCTCTTTCCATACATTAGCTCCTAATGGTATTCCATGATTGTTTGAAGGATCCCTGGCACTGAGACCAAATCATACAGAAGGGTCCACATCCATGATTTTAAAGTCTTCTATTTTCCAAGACACACAGTACTTCTAAACTGTCTTTTGGGAACTTCAGTTAACAACCAAAAAATTGGACAAAAGTTGTCTTGGAGAAAGCTATGGTCATACCACAATATGCTGTGGGCAGTTAAACACTGTGAAACTGTCCATGATGAAATTCCAGCATGGGAGTGTAATTCTTGATATGCTTCACAGCTAGTATAGGCAAAGTTCAAATGTCTTGAATAAAGTC